GATATATTCTAGGAGTAATAAAGGCATGCCATTTGAATCTGAAATTCTTTCAGGAGAGCGTTTACTAAAATTGCGTCGACAACGAGGTGTTGATGAGACGTCGGCCGAGTCGTTTCCTGTTATTTGGTGTATCGCAGCAAAGTACGTTGCTCTTCTTTGTTACTGCGAGTCGTTTGAAGTGCATTGAAGTAGTCATCAATTTCTGTCTCTTCTCAGTAAAAACTGTTCCTTATTTCCTATATTCCTTTGCCAGTTGTTATAGTCAATTTTCTCCAGTCAGCTTCGTGGAAAATTAGCTAGCACTCTTATTTCAAAGATCATTTTGACTACAACAGCGTTTTTGACAGCATTCGCCCAACTGAACATGGGACTGGTCGTCCGGCACACACGGTTTTGTCTCAGTTCCAGGTTCATGCGTGGGAGGAGCTGGTTTTAGAGACCAACTGGTCGGCAGCTGCGATGTTTGCAGCAAAGTGGGCCCAGTGAATTCAAGTTTTTCATGTCAAGCAGTAAACTTTACGGGTCGGTAGCCGGAATTTCGAGCACTTTTCGTCTCTGAAAGCCAATGTGTTCTGTTCTTTTTCCCCAGCAGCTCCACTTTGTCGTGTTTCTTCTCCGTTCAAATTACTTTTTGTCGCCCTTCATGCCGTAAATTTTGAATTCAATTTCTTGATGCTACATGTTCTTTCTGCTATATGTGCGAGTTCCACTCTCAACGCTAAGAAAACGACTAAAAGTCGCTAAAATGATACGAGATTTTACTTTTTGAATACTGAATCAGATTGGAATTATAATATTGTAATATTAATGTGTGATATTAATAGCATAATATTCTCCTCAAAGTGATGAAAGTCCAGTCAAGAAGCCTTTGTGGCTGAGGTTTTAAGGTTTCATCTTTATTTGCTATCGATAACGACTGCATCTTCAGCAGTCATTGGTGGCAAATGTCACCACCAGAAAGTTCTCCTTTCTTATGTCCTAGTCCTCTGTCTTTGCAATGCCTGTTAATCGCTAACTAACACGGAATCTGTTTTGTCGTGAGAGTACATCACTACTACTTGTTATCGCATTGTGGAGTGGCGATGGTTTTCTGCTTGCGAAGTACTGCTGTGGAGATACTTTGTTTTTCGAGGGCAAACTACGATAGATATTTAGATATGCCATCGTGGAGTGGGGGGGGGAGGGTGAAGGGAGGATGGATGTTTTGAAAAGATCAGTGCCATGATTTCACCATTCCTTGCACTTTTGCTGATCTCCTAAAAATTCCTCAACCCAGTGTTTCCACAATTTCGTCTCCCCTTGAAAACGGAGTTGTCTCACTCCCTCCAAAAATTTACAAACACCACCCCTGCTAGGGGTGCCCAAACGAACGTCAGCCCTGAATAAATGCTTTATTGTTTTGGGCGGAGCATGAAAAAGAACTAGGCAGCTAAGCATCTTTTGTTATTATAGCTAATCACTGTCCCACGACATTTCGCTTGGGTATTACGATTTTGAAGGATTTTTTGATTTCGGCACTTTACCAGCGGTACGCCACACAAACTACAGTGCTGCGGCGGGATCGACAACTGGAATTTCCAATTTTAGCCCAACCTGTATTTGTGCATGATCCGTGTACCGCTGGTATCTTACTCTCTCTCCCTCGCTCGTTGTTCTGTTCTTTCTCTTCGTATTCCTCCCAGTCTGTCTTACATCTCCAGCCTTCAATTACCGATACATTTCCAGTTTTTTTCCTCATTTCCGTGTTCAGAAGCCGCTCTTCCCATTGATTTTCCGCTTTCTAGGTAATCATAGATCATGTATTTGTGGTGCGCGCACTCGCCACGGTTGGGTATTTTCGTTTCATCTGCTAGGCTGCTGCTCATTTTCTCCCATTATTTATTTCGGTTTCATGGGATTGCCTCTGAGACAGTTAGCGAATTTTTGAAGTACCGACCAATTTTTTGTTGCCAGCTGGGATCATACGTGTTTCATGTAATTTGGTCACTGGCTTCCCTATCCCAAACTTCATTTGCGCAGATTTTTTAAAATACCACAAAATTTCGTAAAAAACAGACAAGCACGCGAACAAACAAACAAGCAGACTTGGCCAATTTATATTGTGGGATGCTGCTCTGTTTTGAGCTGGTTCCCGGAACGTCGACAGGACTTTGAGCGAAATTCATTTTTTTCACTGATTTTGTTGCTGAATGATTGATTCTTAATAATCAATTCCTACGTTTCAATCTTCGGCTTTTCGCTTTTTCGCTCGGTAGCGACTAGTTTTTTAGTGGCTTATCTTTGGCATTATTTATGTATTATTTTATATATTTATTTATTTTATATTGCAAAAAACTACACAAATACATTATCGAATCGCGAAATAATGCGCTAATTACTAATAGTGAAATTGTTGGAGAGTTAATGATTATTGACGAAACAACTTGAAAGGAAGGTGGGGTGACGGATCCACAACGGCGGTCGTCAAAGGGTTAAATGGCAACGTAACCTATTCAGTGGAAAGAAAGGGGCGCGTGCATGGGCGATATGATGAGTCATGGCTTCGTTTTGTTGTTTTCTGTGCTCGGACTAGGCGCAAGACTTTTGAATTGATTTCGCTTCGAGTGTGATGCAGTTTAAAGAAGTGATAAATTTGTGAGAGCGATGTTGGCTTTCCTATGCGATTTTTCGCAACTGCTCACCTCAGATTCGTTTGGGAACCGCCCCTTTTCATGCTGGTTCTGTAATTTTGGCCCCTTTGTTTTCAACCTCTCAAATATTCAATATAGTCTCGAGCAAACATTTTTGATTGTGCCTGTTCTTTCCCTGGTAGGATTGCGGTAGGGTTGTTGTCTTTGTTATCTCTTGGCTCCCGGTGGTACATTATTTGTACGGTTTTCTATATCTGTACCTCAAGAAGTTACCGTCAATAAGACATAGGTTTTGGGAAACCCATTTTAGAATCACGAAACCACCTCTATCTATACAGGGTGCGCAAAAAATTACGGTAACAAAATAAAGTGTTCATGGAAAAGCAATGCGGCTTATCAAACAGAATATAACATCATTTTTGATGTCGCTCTCTGTGTTCATAAACCCCCCCCCACCTGCGTGAATTCCATTCGGAAACGCATCGGGCCTGTTGTGTAGGTAGGTGACATCGAGCTTTCCCTGGGATCTTCTTTAATTCATCGATGTTTTAGTGATACTTGTAGCAGTCCATCGTCTTCAGTAGACTCCACTGAATATAACCCACTTGCTTTGAAACAGGAGAATAAGGTTGGCACCCGTTTAATGTCATGAATTTGGAAAGTTCTGTAAAACAATTATTGCACAGTATTTGCTTTTTGTACACGCGATCTATCTTGCTGGTGTGTCCAATGATTTCTCTCCGCGGTCTGTTCAGCCTGATGCATTTATTCGGTTCAAAGGGAATAGAGGTGTTTTGATAGTGCTCTTGTTACCGTAATTCTTGCCCACCCTGTATACTTCATCAGAAAGTGAAATGCAGCATTTCCAATTTTCTACAGCATGCGCACCTTTACACACGTGCCGGAAAGATCACATTTGATGGATTTGGATGGGAGTCGATGTGACGGTTCGAATTATTGCGATATGGAGCGCGTAGTTAGTTTTCCGTTCTGGGGAAATTGTCCGGGAGTGTGACGACCCTTTTTGTGTCGCAGGAAGTGATATAAACTGCTCTTTAATCATTTATATACCATAATCTGTTGTTGAGCTTTAATGGTAGCTTTTTGCGTGGATTTTTTGCTGAGGCCCCTACTTACCTTAATCATTCATTTGAACGACTTCTATGCCTTTAGCCAAACTCAAACAATCAAAACTTAATACCTTCCCGCCCTTTAGACCCGCCGAACGACCGCCCGTTGTATGAGTACCTCCATATCCTTTTCATATTTTTCGAAATGTAATGAGCATTAATCTGTAACAGTTTCATCAGTGATGACAGGTATGGTTTTCCCGGCTCTGAAAATGAGTGCAAACAGCTCAGCATTGAAAAATGTTAGATAGATCAGATATAACTATGCTTCTTAGTGTGAAATCGTGTACCACATGGTGGCGCACGCGGTACGCAATGTGTCAATTCTTCCTACGTGGCTTGGTGTTCTGCTTTCACCAGACTTTCGGGCTTCACAAGGTCTGGATGCACTTGTATTTCGATGTTTCCGTCGACTCATGTTGTGACTGACCTAGGGATGCTATCTCTGTCTGATACAGGTTTTGCTCGAGCTCCCACTTGTAGTTGAGTGGAGCTTGTTCTGCTCGGTCATCTTTGTCTTATTTCGGCGGAACTACTTTTTGTCGCTAATGTTGTGGACTTTTCTTACGGCCTGAGTGGATTTCCTGATTGTTGTAGTGTTGACCACTGAGGGTGCTTCTACCGCTTTCGCGCTGTGTCTGCATGTACATATGTTCATGCACCTTTATTAGGCATGAAGTAAATACATGGAAGGAAAAAAGTGCGTGTGATCGCGTTAGGGTAACCTTTCTGAAGATGGCTAGGCTTTTTCCTGGTCCACAAACAAATGAATTTTGTTAACGTTCTGTGATTGACGAGTTAGCGTTTCCTTACAGGCAATACATCGCAGTTTGTGGCTGCGCAGATGGCTCTGTGGAGGTTGCTTGTTTGGAAAGGAATAAACTCATCGGTGTCTATCAACAGTCCCGAATAGGAATCGTCCATGTGCTTGTACGTTCTCTTTCCTTCCTAATCAGATGTTTTGTTTTTACTTTTCACGGTAATTTTCTTACAGTATGTTGGCTCACGTGTGGTGGTGGCTCGACTGGACGGTTCTATAGAGTTCTTGGAGCTTTCACTGACAACGGAAAGGGTACGCGTTTCTCAATTCCTTCGGAAAACTGGCTAAAAACTACTTGTATTAAAGGCAGCGATTACGATAAATTCAAGAAGGGTTAGTGTGACGTGGTGGTGCTCAATGGTACGCCAGTAGCGAAAAAAGCAGAAAATCCGTCAAGAAAACGCAAAACGGGACCCCTTTTTTGGCCGTTGGTTTTCACTCATGAACAGCTCAGAAAGTGGACGTATGAACGAGTTCACCGCAACGCGTTTGATGGCACCATGCCAAAACGCTTTATCGAGATGCTCCATTTGCGCCGCTGCTGGCACGCAGCTCGTCCAAATCAACAAGTAAACTAGTGGGCGGATCGCTTTTGGGGCGGAGTGCTTTCGAAGTCCTGCTCAGCAACCAGCGCACCTTTCGTCGTGAAAGCGCCACATCTCGCTTCCCTGGCAGCCAAGTAACTGATTCGTGTGGTGCACATGCTTCCCCGATGCGCTCCCTCTTTATCGTAATCACCTCCTTTAAGGCGATTGGATCCTAGCCTGATTTTCTAGCTGAAAATGTTTCATTAATTAATGAAGTGAGTGAATATCTCATGAAAGTATTCTTTTAAGCCTACTCGAGTGAAGTCGATCATGGTTCTCAACGTGATTCGCGCTCATCAAAAACCGATTTCTTACTTGGGAGCTTCGTCACTG